GTCTGCTGCAGACCACCACACTGGACTCATCTTGTTAATCAGGATAAAATAGCAGAGAAGCCAAAAATATCAAGTTCCCAGGTTTATTTGATCACTACCATCCTTGAAGAGGGGTTTTATGTACTTTAATTTCTATTTTAAGTCTTTAATTCACGTTTTAATTCCCTCTTTGCTAATTTAATATGTTTTGCTTTTGTTTGCACCACCTAAAACTAAAGCAGCTTAATCCATGTATATCTCAGAGTCAGATTCCACCCCTGTGTTTGCTTTTGCATTTCCACTCTTTGGTAATAGCTTTTACAAGCAGACCAGTTTAAATTCTTAATTTTGTCTAATTCCTCTAAATGCACAATGATTCTTCAACTGGAAAGGAAAGAGAGTAGCTCAGAATGATCCATATGTTGAAGTACTGTATTTTCATCATTTAAATGATAAACTTCCCATCAAATATCCACAAATGTACATTCATGACTCCCATCCAATGATCCATTGGCCAGAGGCACATACATTGTTTTAATTTATTTTGGAGTAAAGGTGCTTTCCTGCCGAGTTCGGATAAGCTTGCTATGCACCAAACAGATGTTCAATAAAAGAGACTTTACTGAATATGACAGAGAAACTCAGGGAAAGGGGATGAAGGAAGGAAAATTGCAGGATGTATGGATTCCTGGTTCATCAAACAAGAGGCCACACTTTTAATGGGGGCCCTTTTATGGATGGAGCAGTAATGAAACAGAAGGACTGGAGATGTCTTGGAAGAAGGTGACACCAATGTGTTGCTCGTGGTGGAATTAACTTTGGCAAACCCACTGCAAGAGCACACCAATCTCCCCATCCTCTGATGGGTTCAGTTCCTCCCATCATGGGGAAAAAACACCTGCAAAAATTCAGTTGCAGGATCTGGGAGAATTATAAGTCTGGAGGTGGGCATGTGAGGGTTCCTTCCCACCATGTGAAACACCCAGTTGTGCTCTCGGAAGGCAAAAGGGATTCTTAAACCACCCAAGCCTTACATCTATTCAGGCTTTTCCTATTTGGAGAAAGGTGCTATTTAAGGAGGAGCTGAGGAGCACAAAGCCAGCCTGATTCATCTTGAGATCAAAGAGGGAATGCTGCCTTTGAGATAAAGATGGCTCTGCTTTGAAAGGTTTCTCCTTTGTTCCGGGATGTCCACCCACCACGTGGGACAGCTCCTCCTGAGAGACACACACCAGGAGAAAAGCACCTCCCCTGCCTGCTCCCAGGGAGCTGAACCTCCAATTTTTGGATGTCTCCGTCAAAAAGAAAATTCATTCCTGACCTTCTCCAGCCCCGCCCTGCCTCGGAGCCCAGCGGGAATGGGTCTCCATCTTGTGACAGAGAATTGACTCCACAAGGCCATTTTTAAACCTGGAAAATTTTAACACCACCCTGGAAACTTTCTTATCCGCAAGATGTGAGTCCCAGTGTTGATTTGCCAAGGAAGGGGAACTGACATTTTCCACCCAGCAATCTGCTATGCTTGTCCAGGGGCAGTTCATAACCAGCTTCCCTCATTCTACCTTCCACTATGGATGTGTCAGTGTGATGAAAACTTGAAGTATTTCAATATTTTTGTGGGCATTTGGTAAAATCTGATGATATAGAAGGTGGAACAGGTTCTGCAGGTGCAGCTCTTCCATCAGTGCTCTCCATCCAGATTATTTGATGTTTTCAAAATCAGTCCTAATGGTAGTGGAAATGCCTTGGAATGTGGTGTAGGACAATCAACAAGTGATCTGATTTGGCTGCTGAGGTTTTCTTTTGGTGTAATGGAATGGAGAGAAAAGATAAGAAGGGGTTTCTGGAAAAGGGACCTTTATACTGGTCTATTTCATAGTTTATTTCATAAACTTTCATTCAGGAGATTCTCAGCTTGGCTTAACTCTCCTACAGTCACTTCTTTAGAAGGAACTTCCTTTCTACAACCTACAAAATCTGTATTTTCATGTAGACATGAGATAATAAATAAAAGTGAGTAGGATATATGGGGAAAGACAGCAAAAATGAATGGCAAAAGAGGATCTGAAGGAAATAAAAGGTCTACGTGGTAACTGGCATTAGACCTAGCTACTTATTTTTTTAAGAAGCTGCTGAGATGCTGACCCGAATATTTATCAAGGTTTTCCTGGGCAGAATTACCTGGTTACCAGCAAGTTGAGATGAGAAATTAACTGAGCTGCAGGACTATGATGGGCTTCTCCAAAATACACATTGAGATTTGTGAATTTGCAATGGGGAAGAAACACTGTCCCTTTAATAATAGATTGTTTTATAATTTATTATTAAAACCACCAGCCATTGACCCCACCACCAAGGGTCAATAAACAGGAGTTTGCAACATGAAGTAGGATCCTGTGTAGATTTTCTGAGCCATTACTACATGTAAGTATCTACCAAGAGCACCAAGTCTCCACTGCTGCTGATGAATTCACACATGATGCTGAAGTTTCAAAACACTGAAGCCTGGACAATATTTTTATTTTCTGAGCAATTACTACCTGTGAGTATCTACAACCAAGAGCACCAAGTCTCCACTGCTGCTGATGAATTCACACATGATGCTGAAGTTTCAAAACACTGAAGCCTGGACAATATTTTTCACAAGTTGGATTGGCATTTTTAATAATTCCCAGATCCCAAACACATATGAAATGAGCCCTTGATGAGAAAGGTCTGATTACAAATAACCTGCAGAGAGATGAAAGTTTGTTTTTAATATCTGCCTTTGACTTTCAAGAGGCTTCAAAAGAAGGCAAAGACTAGAAAACAGTTTGATTTAATACTGTTAGATGTGTGAAATAAAATGCTGGACAATAAGAGATGTAAAACAAGCAACAAGTGCAAATGACTTAAATCAAATTAAAGAGCTAATTGAAAATAATGGAATTAAACCCTTTTCTGGTTGTTTTTATTCATCTGGTTTTCAGCACTGTTTGCAACAGCATTTTTTTTTTTTATTTTATCTTCTTTACTTTGAAGAACAAACTTTCTCTGCCATGAAAGACAATGATTTTAATCAGGCTCTGAAATGTCATTCTCTGGGGATGTGGCTGTTAAATGCCAGCAAGGAAGAGAAGCACCATCAACACAAACCAGCGGGGCAGCCACGGAGCGGAGCGGCCTCGGCGTGTGGAGCTCTGATACAACATCCTGATACCGAGATCCTTCAGCTCCCATCCCAGTGATCCTCACCAACACGACCTTGCTTTCATTCTCTCTGTATCTAAAGGAATTCTTTTTTTGTAACGCAGACACTCACAGCTCCAGCTGAGCAGATCTCGGACTCCAGCGAGGAACCACGAGGCTCCGCTGGTAAATCTCTGTTTTCAGAATGGATCACCCAATGTGGAGTGAGCTTTTGTTGGTTTTAAGCAACTGAAGGGAAATGGGGTTTACATGAGGGTGTTTGGGTGTTTTTCTGTTCATTAAAGCAAAGGAGTGACTCCTCTGCAGTGGGGCTGGTGTGACTGCAGACCTGCCTGTGCTGCTCATGGCTGCTCCTGGTTCTCCTGGCAGAGGAGTCCTGGCAGGAACACGACTGTCCTTATGGCTCCTTGCTGTCCCTCTCTTCTAACCCTGTCCTTATGGCTCCTCACTGTCCCACTCCTCTAACCCTGTCCTTATGGCTCCTTGGTGTCCCACTCCTCTAACCCTGTCCTTATGGCTCCTCGCTGTCCCACTCCTCTAACTCTGTCCTTATGGCTCCTCACTGTCCCTCTCCTCTAACCCTGTCCGGCTCCTCACTGTCCCACTCCTCTAACCCTGTCCTTATGGCTCCTTGGTGTCCCACTCCTCTAACTCTGTCCTTATGGCTCCTCTCTGTCCCACTCCTCTAACCCTGTCCTTATGGCTCCTCGCTGTCCCTCTTCTCTTGCCCTGCCTTGCAGTGCCAGGCTGACTTCTCCTTGCTCTCCTCTGCCCACTCCAAAGCTTCCTCCTCATCCTCCAGCAGGATTTGAGCTCCAGGGCAGGGATGGCTCAGGTGCATTTGCCCAAAGGGCCTGAAGCCTTCAGTGCTTAGAAAAATCCTGCTGAGCAGAATCAAGGATTTTAAGGGTTTTGTCAAACTTAAATGATCATTCTGTGATTGCAGAGCACATCTGCAGGGGGATGTTGCCCACAGACCTTGAATGAGGCTTGGCTTTGCAGAGCAAAATTAAACCTGTTATAAGCATTTTGTACAGAAAATTCCCCCATAAAACCCTGTCATCAGCGTTCAGAAAGTGTCTCTCTTTTTTTGACTGCAGGCTCACAGAAATAACTTCCCTGTGGAGTTCAGAGCTGGGCAGCACAGCAGGCTCGGCTGCTCCTTGGTTTTAGAGGTTATTTTTGCTTTACCCCATCCTGCACAGGAGCAATCCACGCTTGGAGCAACCTGCTCTAGTGGAAGGCTGGAACGAGACGATATTTTAGTTCCTTCCAACCCAACCCACTCTAGGACTCTGTGATTAACTTTTCTGCCTTTCTCATGGGCAGCTTAATTTTAAGTCTTGCAGAAGAACAAGGGGAAAACCAACAGAGACAGCACAAGGACAATCCCCCTGCATGTGGAAATGTGGTTTTTTTTAAATGAAATTATTTCCCCTGTGTACTGCTACACAGCCTCTTCATTAGAGGGACAAGAGAAGTGTGTGCTTGCTCAGTGCTGAGCTCTCATGGTATGCAGGGGTTGCATAGAAAAAATCATTCCTGGTGCTAAAAACCAACCTGACACTACTCCTTAAGTTTGGTGAAATATCCAATCAGTCTCAGTGGGTTTTTCAGGAAAAGGAATAAATAAAATAACAGAAAGGAACAAAAAAAAAAAAAAAAAAAAGAAGTGGGGAAATAAAGAAAAAAACCCACCAACCATAATAGAGGGTCTAAAAATGCCCCACTCATTGATGCAAAATTACACTTATTGTTTATCCTCCTTCTACTTCACACAGCTTTATACAATACACACCACGAAAAATACAAGCAAACAACCGACACATTAGTTAAGAGACCTTCCATTTTACTTTGGCAGTTCACGATAATGGAATTTAATTGTGGAAAAAGCTGAATAATTTTAGCTGAATGTCATTTGGTTCATTCAAACTGGGAATCAGGGACATTTTTAACAAAGGTTTTCAAACTTCTTTTGAAATCAGGAAGCTGCTGTGCACAGATAAGGGGAGAGGTTTGAGGATTCTCTATCAGAAATTTCAAGGTTTTTTCCATCTGCTTTTTCACATTAACTGGTAATTATCCAGAAAGGCACATAATAGTGCAGAAATGACAGAAGCTGACAAAGGTTTTCCTAAGATATGTAAATTGTCAGTGATAGGCAAGGTGCAACAGAAAGGCTTTCTACAGCACAATTATTTATGCCAGTTTCATTTGCTTTTAGGTAGCACTGATGGTTCTACCCCACTGCTGCCTTTATCACAGGCACTGCACATTCCCTCACCACCAGCACACAGGGAAGGTGGCAAAAACTGAGCTTGGAGCTTGGTGGTCTCCTCCAATGCCTCTGTTTTCTATTAAATACGTGCACAAGGGGCTGTGTGTGGAGATATTTCTGAGGTGGTTATAACCTTCCCCTTCATTCCTCACGCTGCAGAAATAAATAAAGAATGTGATCCTTCCCAGTGAAGCAGCTCCCACATGGTGGTGGTCTCAGAGCCCACCTTCCTCACAGCAGCTGCTTGAGGGAGGAGGTGTTAGAAGGGACACTCAGCTGTTTGTCTCTGAGGTTCGTTAGCTCTCTCTGCTAATTGCCTAATTCCAGCAGACAGATGAACCCCTTAGAGCTGCTCAGACAAAGCCCCTTCCTCCAGCTCTCTCTGTGCAGGGCTTCTCTTGATGGGGTTGGACAGGTGGGTGGTGGGACCACCACTCCATTTGCTTTTGAAAATTCATTCTGGGAATGTAGAATTGTGGAATTTGAGCTGGAGGGGACCTTTTGAAGGTCATCCAGTCCAACCCCCCTCAATGAGCAGGGAGGGCTGATTTGGGTGCCTTTAGGTTGTACTCCTCAAGGGAGGAAAGATCCCCTCTCCCCAGATTGTCCATTCAACCTCAGGAATTATTACCCATGGCATTACAAACACGCCATCCCCTTGCTCTGTCCCAGCAGGTCACCAGGCTGGGCTGCAGCTCTTGAGCAGGGTTTTACAAGGATATTTTAAGTCTCTACTGTACAGACAGAAGCATTGGGTTTTGATAAATACTCCTTTGCCAAAGGAGAAGTTGGGCTGGGCTTCTGAGTCCTTTTGGGAACTTAATTCTTATTTAAGTGGAGAATAAGGGGCTGTCCTGGGAGAATTTCATGCCTGACCTCCCCCTCATCCAGCTCATACCAGAATTACAGGTTTTAATTAACCTTTCCTGGGAATAGGACTTCCCATGTAACTTCACCTGTACCAAGAGTTTATAGGATCTTTAATGGACGGAAGGACTTCACCTGCTGTAGTGGCACCAGTGGTGTTATGGTGGGATAATCACTTCCCATCAGCACCTAAGTGATGTTAAAGTACCCTGATGGGAGGAGTTTCCATGTGTTTGTGGGGGTGGAATTAATTTCCTTTATGGTAATAGTCCCTGAAGTTAATGGGTGCTGAGAGAAAGGAAACAAGATGCAACACAACAAATTTGTATAAAAACCCCACAAGATTGCATTTGAAAGTCAATAGGCTTTGTTATTAACTCTAAGGACCTTTTCTCCTGTCTGGTGCTTTGTTTTCCCAAATCAGGGAGGTCAAATTCAGTGAAAGGCTTTGGGAGGGGTGGACAGGAAGGGTTTCACCCACCAGAGCCTTTGGGCTGCAGCTGTTGCCCAAGGTCTGTCTCTGCAGGAACCAGCCTGGGGTTGCTTGTTCTCCTTATTTTATTTGGTTTTTTTTAAGACAGATTTTCTTCCAGGGGTGTTTATGCCATAAAGATTCAAGAAAAACTTCCAAGAGCTTCTTGGTCGGTGCTGAACCCCCCCAGGATGTGCCGGCTCTGGGGGTTTGGATTAAATGTCCCAGCAGCTGATTTTTGGGGGCTCATGTGTTCATGGCCCCTTTTGTCCCCCTGTTAATTCCCAGGACTCCTTCCTTTCCCTGTGCAGCCCCTGGTAGTGCTGGTGGGGCAAAACCAGCAGCTCCAGATGCTGACACTGGGCTGTAGCTCCACTGAATGCTGTGAAAGCAAAAAAAAAGTCAATAAATTATTAATTGCAAAAGGAAACCCCAGCTCATGCTCAGGGGGGACTCCAGGACAAGATGAGGTGGGGGAGCAGATCCCAAGCCCAGCTGGAAATGGGTTTTGGGAATATGCAGGTGAATTAAATAAGGTGTGTGGGCCAGCAGCATCCTGCTGATGTTCACACAGAGCATTTAGGATATTAAAAAATTGCCTGAGTGGTAATTATATCCTTAAACTTTCTGGATTTCCTTTGGTTTTACTTTTTTGGGGTTCTTTTTTAAAATAAAGTTTAAATTAGATCAAAAACCACCAGGCCTGTGAAGAAGGTCCCGGGTGGTTTGTGCACAGCAGAGCTGAGGACTTTGGAGTTGTCATACACAGACATCAGGTGAGAGCTGGCAAAAGCACTTTGAGAAGGCACAAAGACACTTAAGGACAGAAACCCTGAGGATGCTCAATAAACAATCACAGGAACGGTGCCTGTGCCGTGAATGTGACTTTGCCACTGTTGCACATTTCTGCTCCTGTTTGTAATGACATTTTGGCCACTGTCTAAATACACAGAAATGGCCTGAATGCATCATCTGGATTATCTGATGTTAGTTGGAGTTTTTGGAGTTTTTTTCTACAGCCTCTTGGTAGACTTTGAAAGAAAAAAAAAAAAGGAAAAGAAATTAAACATATTTCAGAGTAATTGAACTGTGTTCACATTAAGTTACACTAAAATTATTTTTAATTAAATGAACTTCCCCTGTTTGTAGCTGGAAGGTACTTGTGTGAGATAAAAACTCCATTCTAATAACGCTGAGACTCACCAGCACTTAATTAGCATCACAACTCAAGGCAGAGGGAGCAGGGAGGTGGGTCTGTTCTGCTGGGTGGGATTTTGGGAAGGGATGCTCAGCCCCCCATCCCAGAGCCCACCCAGCACCGCGAGGAACACCAGGAGGGAAAATCACACCTAGGATTTGACACAGTTTGTGGCAAAAGCAATTATAATTAACATTATATTAAATATTAAGTCAAGATCATAAAATGTTGATTGGTACTGATTAGCTGCATAATCCATAATTAGAAATCACTGCACCCTTCAGCAAGTACTGTAGTGCCTTGCCTGTGATTTCGCCGCTAAATTAAGTGAGAGTGATTCAGCTTCTGCCCTGAGTTTTACTCCTGCATTTCATTTAGGGCAGAAGCACATCCAGGTAAAGAAAGGCACAGGATCTGTTTCCACTCAGTCTGCTCCCAGATTACCCATCCTAAGGGCAGCCCCCCACCCCTCCCATGCCCATGGAGAAATGATGGCCAAATTGCCCTTGACCATTCTCAGCTCTGCTTTGGTTGTGTCCAAAAGATGTAGGGAGAAGCTTTGGAATTCCCTGGGGAAGTGCTGGAGTCCCCATCCCTGGAGGGGTTCAAAATCCACGTGGATGTGGCTTTTGGGGACATGGGGTAGTGGTGGCCTTGGCAGTTCTGGGAGATGGTTGGTCACAATGATCTTGGAGGGTTTTCTAAACCTAAACGATTCCATGACTGGATGGAATTCTGCATTCTCTGAAAATTCCTTGTGTATTTCCTCACGCCAAAACAGGGACTGCAGAAGGTCAAGCTGAGGCCGTGCCCTCCTGGCTCAAGCCAAGATGAAGCAGCATCAGGCAACTCCAAGGTAATGATTTTTTTTGGCCCAAATTCAAAATACACCTCAGGACACCTCAGCAAGGAGGGAGCAAAAAGAGATTCTTTATTCTGATTTGAGTTTAGAAGACCAAACCCATCTGTGCCTCGCTCGTTAATGGGGTGGAAACAGGGACCCTGTGGGGAAGTCGGTGGCTCTGGGCTGAGGAGCTGCTGCAAGAGGGTGAATTATTCAGGGTGTTATCAAGGCTTGCTGCAGCAGCCCTGCTTTCCCCTGATTTTATGGGTCCATTTATCCTGGATATCCATTTGTAATGGATAATGTCATCATCACACACTGGGAAACGCTCAAGTTTTGTTGAAGGAAAGAACAAAGTCCCCTAAACCATGAGGTTTTATGTCTTTCCTGCTAATTTCAGTCACTGCCTTGGCTGGTGACCCAGCTGTGATTTTCCACAGTAGAGCTGGATAAAAATAATAAAATTTGGTGGATAAAATCCCAAACCCATGGCAGCCTGGCTGCTCCTACTGGAACTCCAGCAGCCTCCCTGCAGCCGAGCTGATCCAGAGGGACCCTCAGAGGCTGCGCTGGGCACCCGCTGGCAAACCCAGGGCAGCAGAGAGAAAACACATTGTCGTAATTCCCTCTTTTCCAAAGGCACTTTGGAGTCCTGGGGAAGAAATCTTTTCATTCCTTCTGCTGTTATCTTTGGCTCTGATTAGCATTGCCTGGGAGTGGAGCTGAGGTTCTGGGCAGAGCCTCAATCAATTAAATCAATGCGGCCGTGACGCTCCAGTGATTTTCCCTAAGAAAAGGTTGGGTCTAAAAGGAGGGCACAGGGAATCACAGGGAATGTGGTGCTGGGCAGGTGGGGAGAAGCAGGAAAGCTGGGCTGAAATCCCTGTTTCTCTGTGCTGGATATCATGGAATGCAGCCCTGGACTGGGTCAGGGGGGTACTTGCACTCACACACTCGTTCCTACAACATTTAAATTATTCTCCTTATTGTATTAATGAGTATATTTTTATTTAAATCAATAAATTTTTAATTTTTTATGTGTGCATTTTTATATTTTTATATAATATATATTTTCTTATATTTATATATATAATATATATTTATATATGTGTATATATATATCTATATATATATACATTTTTATTTTAAATTAATGAGATGGCATAGACCATCTCCATTTTTAAGAGCTACTTTTGGCTACTCCAGGGAATGCTCTGCCCTGCCTGAGCTCCTCGAGCAGCCATGTGTCCTAAGAAGATCTTTGTCCCACTACAAAGCATCCAAACCCCACTGACATCCTTGCAACAACCTGGAAACACCAGCAAGCCCCAGAAAATGCTCCCAAACCTGGTTTGTTCTTTGCTGAAGCATTGAGAGTGTGGGGCTACCTCGGGTGAGCAGCTAAACAAATAAATTCAAAAATTTAAGAAGATTCCCATGCCGTGACTATCAAAACGAAGGTATTTCCACTCTTTTGGCATTTTCATTTTAAAAAATAAAAATTGTAAAAAAATACAAGCAGAATGTCCTCTCTCCGTTGCCCTTCCCTGGGCAGGAGTGCAGGAGGTGCTGGGCACAGAGTGCTGCATTCCCAGTATAAAACTGGATTTGCATCTCCTGCCTGGGACCTACAGCAAATCCCCCCATCCAGCAGACAGCCTTTTGGCTTCTGGAATACTGAAAATGTCTCTTTTTTTGCCTGCAGAACCAATGCATTAAGTCTGAGAAGGGGCAGCAGAAGGAAAGCCTGGAGCTGCTGCTCACCCTGGAGCTGGAACATCCTCTGAGCAGCAGCAAAACAAGAGAAAGCAAAAACACCCCTCTAAGATGGCTGCAAACAGAAGGTCTCTGCAGTCCCTCCTTAAACACTGAAGATATTTTCATTTAAAATATCTACTTAAAGGTAGGTTTAATCTCAAAACTGCATTTTCCACTTAAAAAAAAAAAATCACACGCACACAAAAAACCCCCACCTTCAAAAATGTCTTATTTCTCCTTCAATTTTTTTTTTCCAATTAAATTAATTTAAACAGAGTGAAAAATGCTTTATGCCCTAAGAGCCTGAAACCTCTGGTGTCAGCTGAAACAGGCACTTGTGCTCTCAGCTTCAGCCCTCGCTGCAGGCACCTCTGCTTTGAAGCCTTTGAAGTGTTTGTGGCACAGGAAGAGGCTCTCCTCAGAGAACACCAGTTATTTTACAGATATTTAATGTGTGAAGTGTGTGTGCCTGTGTTTGGGTTCGGATAACGGGGGTTTCACAAGGCAGGTGGGAAAACAGGGACGGGATCTTGACTCGCAGAGCAAAATTGAAGGAAAAACCACCCTGAGAGCAGCTCTTAAGATCCTTCCAGCCTTCATCAGCACCATCCTGAAGATGCAGATGAAATTATCTGACCTTCAGAAGGACCAAAATATGTTTTTAGTGCCTTTAGAATTCACCCACTCTCCCAGCACCAGGATTTCCCTTAGGGGAAGGGATGCCACAAAAAAGCCTGGGGACACAAGGAGCAAGGGGCTGGGGGTGCCCATCCCCACAGGGCAGCTGGCACCACCCCCCGAGCTTCTTTTGGGGATGTGATGCAAAAGCCTTGCAATAAATTTGATTATTGGCTGGATTTTGGAGCTAATTATTTAACTCATGACCTTGCTTGTGATTTGAGGGGTAAAACCTCTGCCTGCATTTCAGGGGGGCTGGTGCAAAATCTCCACCTCAACACCCAGCAGGACCAATTTTGAGGCTGATTTGTTTAAATTGTTGCATTTCCCTTCTTTTTGGGGGGCAGGGGTGCCCAAAGGTTGATGCCTCTCTTTCAGAGCAAGCCACATTTATTCACTGTGCACTGCAATTATTCCAGCTTGTAACCAATGAGGTTTAATTAACATTAAAATCTTAAATCAGCTAGCTCAACCAATGTTATTTGAGCACTGATGGTTTGTTGAACATCTTCTCTCATGGACCGGTATTTAAATAGAAAAAAATACAAAGAAAAGAAATTGTTATATCTGAAATGGAAAAACAATTATGTTCTGTGACTTTGCAGAGTTATTTTTGAGGACATATAATATATTTTTGCTGAGTCCCTATTCTAGGAGAGGCTCTTTCTTCTCAGTGCTTGCTGCTTCTCTTAAAGTAAATACAAGGAAATACAGGGTAATAGATAGGGAAATACATAGATAAGGAATATAGAATAAACCCTCTGTTTTTCAAAAAATTGCCCTTCATGCTACTTTATTTTTAATTTTTTCAGCTTTGCTGCAGCTATCCTTGTCTTAGCCAAGGCCAGGTGAGACTTTTTCCTTCTTTGCAGATCCTGAAGTTTATAAAGCTTCAATCTACTTTTCCATAACCAAATGTTTAGTATCTACCTATTGTTTTCCTTTGGTATTTCTTTTTAACAGTAGTCCCACTCTTTAACCCTCTGGTTCCATTGGGTTGAAGCAAGGGTTCATCTGATCCACCTGGAAATACCAAGTTCCAGGAGATAAGAGTATCACCTGCCCTCCTGACAATTTTCAAACCAAATGCAGCGCAGAATCTTGGCTATATCTAGAAAATAGGTGATTTTTAATTTTTTTTAATTGTAGGAAAAAAAATATGAGAAGAAAGAAAGAAGATCAGTGAATGTCCAGCATTGATTTAGAAGCAGGCTCTGCCAGGCAGGGGGAAAAGGAGCCTTTCCCAATCCATTCCATTTATGGTTATTAGTATTGATATTGTATTTCTCTTGGCTCCCAGAAGGAAAAGTGGGGAATGAATTAGGGGAAAAAATACTTTTCTGTAAATAACTTTTTTCCAATTCAGATGTTTTTAGGAAACAAGGAGGGGGAAAAAAAATGCTTCTCAAATGTCAAGGACTTGAAAGACTAAAAATACATCACCGGAATAAATAAATTAACCCAGAAGACAGGACTGATGCTCTGCAGGCATCAGGGATTAAATAAATTCACTAAATTCAAAGTGGTACTGCAGATAAGAGCTCTTTGTGCTGCAGCATGTACAGCTTATTGATTCTGGGATTGAGGTGCTGTGCACTCTTGTAGAGGGGGCTCTGCCTGATACGGCTTGATCCTGCCCCAGCGCACAGCCCCGCGCCGAGCGTGGAGCCCGCTCCCCTCTCCACATTTATTTTAATTTGGTCTGCGCCTTCGTTTGCTGCACCACATCTGTGCCTCTCCCCCAGCACTGCCTGAGGGACAAGGGGCACTTCAGGAGGTGCTGAGCCAGCAGGATGGGGCTGCTGCAGGAAAGGGGCTGTGGGCATCTTCCATAGGGATGGAATGCCCAGCACTTCCCTTCTCCAGAGGGTTTTGGGGCACTGCGGGAACAAGGGGTCCTTAGGGGAGCAGCTCCAGTGGGGATCGTGGCTCTGCACGCTCACATTTTGTTACAGGAGCCACCAAGGAATGTGTCTGACCAAGGTCAAAACATGACCTGAACAGAGAAGATGAATTTTTCTGGACAAAAAAAAGAAAAAGTGGAAAGGTTTGTAATAAATTCGAGGGGCGGTTGCACACCCAAGTGGAATGAAGCTGGGAAAGTTCCAGTTTACCTGTTTTCCACGGCAGAGGATATTTTCACCCCCTTGGTGAAAAAGTGTCAAAGTCACTTCCCACTAACACGGAAGGACATTTAATCCCTCCTTTGGAAGCTCACCTGGTGCTCAGCTCAGGTTTCCTCCACAGGCTGCTCTGAAGGCCCAGCAGAGCTCACCAAACACAGAATTCCATGATCTCCCAAGGAAGAGAAAGACCTCCAGGCCTCTGGAGGTGTGAGGAAGCAGCTGGCAGGGCAGTGATGCTCTCGGGATGTGCCGGTCCCCTGGGCCATCCCTCCTTGGCTGAGGTGGAGCAGCACCAGCTCCTTCCCAGCCTCGGGGCATCCTTGGGTGCTGACTTCCTGAATCACACCAAAAAGAGCTGATCTGACCAAGGGGAAAGGCTTTTATTATTAATTGTGTCTTAGGTACGAGGGAAGAGCTCAGGGAAGAGCTCCACGGCATGAAAGAAGTTGCCAGAGGGACTTTTGGGTGACCTCCCCAAATCCCTGTATTTCCCTCAGGTTTGGCAAATCTCCCAATATCTTTCACCAAAATCAAGCTCTTAATCTCAAGACACCTCTCCTACGTCAGGCTGCCTCCTGAGCACGATCCACAGGGCCCGTGTTTCAACACCCAGGATTCATTAATATTTCCTGCAGAGTGCTCAGTAAGTAGCAAATAAAGCAGGAAGTGTCCCAGATGTTGGAAAGAAAAAATGGAATTATTCATTGCTTACTAACATCAAATGCTAATGTGAGAAAAGCATCCTTGAAGAAATCCTTGACTAAAATTCATCAGAGTGATGTGAAATCACTGTTTTAATTATGCATTTTGAATGTATTTATTAGTCCCGGTTCTGATCTGACTTACAGATGTTTAGCAGTGATAAGGGTCTGCTGCAGCCTTCGGAATTACTCATGATTTATAATGACAAAACTTGGATCAGAATTAGGTCCTTGTCACTACTCTATAATATCCTTTCATCAAACTTCACATTCAACAGATGAAAGCGAACGTGGTTTCTGCAATTTCCAACTCTACCACTGAGCCCATGAGTTCCTTTTTTTAAAATTTCTCCTACAGAAGTGATGACTCTCACAGCAAATTTTGTCTGCTTGAGTTATACTAGCCATGAGAAACTTGAGAGCAAAGGAATTGGAGTCTTTAATCCACTAAAATGATGTATTTGGCCTTGTGTTGGCAATAAACATGGAATTTTAATGAAAGAGTTAATTGCTTTAATTATGCAAGTCTACCATCTCATTCTTTCTTATTGTTGTGACTATTAGATATATACCTAACATTGAGAGATTTTCCAAATCTGTGGAAAATCCAGGGATTTGATGAGGTTACCCAAAAGCTCAATACCAGACAACAATTGGATGTGCTCAATACCAGATATTTAAAATAAAACACCCTCTGTTCAAGAATTATTCAAAGCCATGTGGTTTATTTCCAAAGAATGATGGAATTTTAAACTATTGCTTGTTCTAGAGCTGATCCAGAAAGAGCAAGTCTCCAGGGATGCTTTACTCCCTAAGGCATGAATGCATGATTAAGCTAAATGTATTCCATAAATGCCTTGATGACATTAAACTAAATTTTTTAAAGAACAGATGGAGAAAGTTAATAAATATTTCATTCTATAATATAAAACTCACTTCTATATTCACAACTTCAGGGATCCTCAGCTTCACAGATATCAATAAGTCTGATGGATTTCATGCTGCATTCTCATTCTTCTGCCCTGGTGTCTCTTATGGGATCATCATTTCTGCATGCTTGGATTGTTTTATGGGATCAGTGAAAGGCAAGTGACTGTAAATCTTGACCTCTTCTGCTCCTGGATTGTATACTTTTATTCTTTGTGACCATAAGTGCTCATCTCCACATTGAATAGATAATTAAATGACAAAAATTATTCAAAGGTAATTTACTGTGAGAAATTATCCCTTGAAGAACTGATGGGGAACTAGGCATAACCCAAAGAGAAAAAAAACCAGTTTAGAATGTCCAAATAAAACACTAAAATCTCTGTGTGTTTGGGGATGTCATGAAACATCCATTCACTGGGAAAAAAACCATGATTTTTACCTGCACATCCCAATTCTATTCAAACAAAATTTCTATTAAGGGAAAACAGCGTGGATATTGCTTAAGAACTGTAGCCCAAGCCTGTTATTCATATGAAAGAACTAATCTTTACATGAGGGAATTACAATTCCTCACTCTGTGTATGCCATGAATCTTGTAAAAGAATAATTAGAACTTGCTCCGAAAAGAAAGAAGCGGCAGACTTGAATAATATTTTAGGAAGAGCATTAACAAACATTTTTACACTGCTAACAATCTTCAGCGCTTCCTAGCAGAGATTTACATTCCATTATTAATTAACTGCACTGAGTCAATAGTGTGACATAAAGCTCGGGAGATGTGAGTTGAGCACAAACTCTGACATCCACGAGAAGGGCGCGTTTTGAGAAGTTTGATTTAAAATTTATGCAAATGAGCTCAGCAAACAAGGACCCAACAAACTACTTCAAAGCACCATGCTCCAGCCTGAAAAACACGACAAGATCAAATCTTTGTCATTTCTCAAGTGTCTCTACAAACCTCTGCATATTCAGGACAAATAATTTCACCCCCAGTAGCCGGATAGTTTGGTGGAGAACTAGGAGGTGATTGCTCTTTGCAGGGTCACTGCCACATCAGCCTGAGTGACTGCAAGAATTTAAATGTATTTAAATGTCATATAATTTGTCATTTTAGATCTGACTCTTGTAAGGTGTCCATAGAATACAACAAGGTCCCAGCTGAGCTGCCTGATAGGGCTGACCAAAACAAAACAAAAAAAAAATAGCAGTGTCATTGTCCTAACTTCTGTTCCTCCAGCTCCCACCATCATTCAGTTTTTGGGTTGAGAAACTTCCCCAAACTGTGTCCAGGGAAAATATGCAATTCAGGGTAAGGACAACAATTATTCAAAACAAATTTATAGTGAGAAATTGCCACTTGAAGAACTGATGGAGTACAGGCACAAACCAAGGTGCTATCACATTATCATGCTATTGTCCTCTCTCCTTTTCCCTCAACCAGGATCACCTTTCAGTTTTTGGATTGGGAATCTCCACAAAACTGCATCCAGGGAAAATATTAAATGCAGAGCAAAGCATTGCTGCAAAGAAATACTAATTAATTCATGTTATGTTTCAAGCCACAGAAATTGGTTTATTCCCTTATTGAAAGTTAGGTTAGGTCCAGGTACATTTGTATCTTCAGAATCAGGGCTTTTAAGGAAGAAAAAAGTTTCTCATGTTTCCCGACATCCCATTAAAATGGTTGTCCTTTGACGTCAATTAGAGCTGGCTAAGAAAAAAAAAATCATCCTTAATTGCTTTTTAGAAATAGACATTATTGCTTGCACCATTGCAGCCAGATTCGATTTCCTTTTACAAGAAACCAGGATGCTGGGAATGCTGTAAAACTCCAGCTCTGCTGAATATGGATGTGGAGCTCTGCTGACAGAGAGCTGCTTTCACCTGGGCTGCGGGAAAAACTGGTGCAAACCCCACCAATGTGGTGAAATATCTCCAAAGTGGAAAAAGGCTGGAGCTGGATGTTCAGCTGGGGCTGGTTTGGGATGGGCAGTGGTCGGAGCCAGGCTGGCAGAGCTGGGGGTGCTCACCTGGAGAAGAGAAGGCTCCAGGGAGAGCTCAGAGCCCCTGCCAGTGCCTCAAGGGGCTCCAGGAGAGCTGGAGAGGGACTTGGGATGAGGGATGGAGGGACAGGACACAGGGAATGGCTTCCCACTGCCAGAGGACAGGGGGAGATGGGAAATTGGGAAGGAATTCCTGGCTGTGAGACTCTGGCAGAGGGTACCCAGAGAAGCTGTGGCTACCCCATGCCTGAAAGTGTCAAAGGCCAGGTTGGGTGGGGTTTGGAGCAACATGGGATAGAGGAAGGTCTCCCTGTCCATGGCAGGGGGGGGAAAAGGATGGATTTTAAGGTCCCTTCCAACCCAAACCACCCTGGGATTCTGTGGATGCTCAGTGCTCCATCCCTGCCTCCCCACGAGAGTGAGTGTAACCTATCCCCACAATTACAGCTACAAAAACCATCAAGCCCTCAAAACTTGGGTGTGTTTCTTTACAAGGAGCATCACCAATTTTCTCAAAGCCTTTTCCACATTTGCCTTACTGCAGGGAATCCACAATGTCTCTGCCCACCAGGAAGAAGAGGAGTCCAGAGAGCAACACCAGGGGCACCCCGGCGGCGGCGAACATGAAGGACCACCCGTAGTAGACGTGCACGGGGACATCATCCAGGCACCTCTCACTCCTCTCCAGGAGGATGTACTTCTGAAAGTCAGCTGCAAACTCCTTCCACATCACGAAGAGAAACACGAGCAGGAGAAACAAACCTCCTGGGAAGAGAGAGAAAACTGAGTTATGGTCTGTGCAGGGAATACAGGAGTAAAGGTGAGAAAAGATCACCACAGCTTCTCATCCATGCTCTGCACCAAAGCTTTGTGTGGCAGAATTGTTGTTGCTGACGTTGCTCTGCAGGTTCCTGTGGAAGCTGAGGCCACACCACAGTGACCAGTTCCTGCCTCTGACACCTCCTGCTTTGACCACCAGCACTTCTGAAGGCTCTGCTTCAGCAGGATAAGGCCATGGAGAAACCACCCGAGCAGGGCTGATGTTCCCAGCAGGGACCTGCCTTCCTCTCTCCAGGGTGGGATGTTTCACCTTTTTCACTTTTAATTTCTCAGAGATTTTTCAGATTTAATTTCAGAGATTGAGGAGACACCAAAACTTACTTCCTTTTTTTGTATCTACCCTTGGAAGCAGTGTCATAGCCAATCCCCACCAGGAACACAAAGATGCCATGATAAATCCTGGTGCTGGTGGAAAAATTCTGGCACTGCCACCCCCAGAGCCAGCACATTATGGGGTGGGAAAGGCACACAGCCATGAGATGTTAATCTTAGATGGGCTACTAAATACCAGAATAATAATAAGAATTATTCCAGCAGTTTATGCCACGAAGCTGGAAGCAGACGAAAAAAAGAGTGGCCCAAATCTCATTTACTCTGTATCTTTAAAAAAATATATATTTCTATGGTGCATTTTAAACTCAACATCTATTAAAGCTAAATAGTGATGGTGTGATGACAGGTCTGAAAGCAGCTCAGAAATATCTGATCTTGCTACTTCACAGGTAGAAGCTGCTATTTTTAAATGGTGCTGTATAACATATAGATATACACACACACATATGAAAGAAATACATCACAGCTTATATTATTTTTATGGTTGAAGTGAACTGCTCAAAATTAATTTAGTTGACAAGTTACCACACAGTTCTGTGGATGTGTTGTGGCTTCTGCAAGATTTAATTTCTCCCCTTGCCATTTTTAAATCAAAGGTAGTTGTGGTGTATTTAATTATTCTTCCTGGCAGCTTATATACTCCAAAATCCAGCTTTTGAGCTAAGGAAAGGAAAGGGGTAAAGACTGACGTTGATTTATCTGCTTAGGGAGGTTACTGAATCTTCAGTCAGGGAAAACACATCCGTGTTTTACTGTGATTCTGTTTATAATGGTTATAAAAACATCTCAGAGACAAAAATAAGACTCACATGAAGGTAAGAGGCTTCAAAGTCCTCACTAGGAGGGAAATAGAAGTGACAGTTCCCCACCCTAAGCTGTCACATTTACTAAACTGCCTCCCATGCCCTAAAAAGATGCAATCTTACCAATCAAAAATTGGTGTAGCCATACAAATATTCTTTACATCACCCCACACTGAAATTCCAGCCATTCTCCCTGATGTGGAGGAGTCCTTGTTTTTCCTGGAGAGGCAGGCAAGGAGTTAAACAGCAGCTGCTGGAACATTTGCATGTTCATTGAGGTTTTGATACCACTTGAAATTAAGTGCACAAATAAATATTTTACACTTACTATGATAGTTGTATGCTTAAAATACCAATTATTCTACTATAAGAAAGCGATGGTGTGTTCAAATAGTCGCATGTCCTTTACAAAATACAATGTATTGATAAGAAGGCAATTAAGTCTTTATTACTGATGTAATTTAAAATTAAATTAATTAGATAGCAACTGAACCTTGAAAAGTGCTCCTTTAAAGATCAATTTCTATTTCATTAACTTATAATACCTACCATAAGAGACACAAATGAAAGCGCAGCCCCAGTGGGACAGAGAACGTGGGTATGGAAATGTACTTTGGAATTTTGCTTTAAATAACCGGGAATTCTGTGTTGATTTCTCCCAGGACAAATTATATGGCCTAAGTCTTGTTTTTTGAAGTAATCAGATCAAAACCTTCCAGTTCTTACTGAGGAGGGTGTGGGAAGTCCCATGTGTGGGTGGCACCATCCCCAACCTCTTCAGGAGGTAAGGAATGGGGATTGGTCCCCCCTCTGGCCTCAGGAGAAGCTCCAGGTCCTGGCACAGAAGGATTTATTATTAAACAGGTACTGGAGGTGATGGCATGGCCATGGCATCTAAATTAAGAATGTTTTCACACTCTGGGCAAATGACAAGAATATGTAAAGCAAGCAGCCTTCTTCCCTGGAATAATTACAGCTGAGTGATGAAGAATCCCTGGGATTTACACAATGTCCTCAGTGGGAAGAGAAAATCAGGAGGGCAGGTGCAGCCAAAGGATGGTGGGAGCTCAGGAAGGGCAGCTCACCGAAATCTGCTCAGCCAGAAATGCATGTTTGGAGCAATCACAAGTGTACCTGAACCTGCCTAAAATTTGTCATACTTACAGCCATCAGCAGCCTCTTCATCATGAGAAAATCAGGATGTTTCCCTCCTATATTACCAAAGTGTTTGGCGTTTTTGTTTTAACATGCTGGGTTTTTTGGGATTTTTCATCTGTTGAACAGGTTTCACTTTGCTCCCTCCTTTCTGGGCCTTTTAGTGTGGGAAACACAGCAGAAATTATCTTTGTTTCCTGACAGCTTTGGTTGTAGAGACATAGATTCCTTCCTGCTTTGGGCAGCAAAATGAAAAACTGAAAAAATGTAATTTTCTGTCTGAAATATAACACTGCATTGTGGTGCATCGGCACCCACACCCAAGACACAGGGTGTATTGGGTTTGGGTAAGTGAAGACCTCATCAAACCTCATCCCCATGCTCCTCTCAGCATCCCTGTGCTTTCTCCACTGGAAAATTACCCGAGTGATCCCTTCCTTGCCTCCTTCTCCCTCTTTGCCTCTGTTCATTAGGATGGTACTGGGAAAAATTAACTGCGAAACTCCATCTCCAGACTGATGAGGTCAACGGCATCTTCTGGGGAGGGGCTAATTGCCAGAAAATTGCAGTGGGGTATTAAATCTGTCTCCTTTGTGCACTGCAGATCTGGGAGCCTGGAGCTCCATCCCCCTCTCCCAACGGAGCTACGTCTTCCATGTGGGCAAATTGAAGTGGAGCTTTTCCTTTCTCTCACTTTATTTCCTTGTGACACCTTTATAGCTGCTAATTGTGGGGACAGGTGAGTGAACTCAATCTTTAACTCTTATTCTGGGGAAGCTACTGAATTTTTGTGTAATCTGCTAATTAGGAGAATAATGAACTTTGACTCGTTCTCCTCTCTCGCTCGTTGCCTCTTAAGGATGTTAATAACAGCGAAATGGAGGGGTGACCTTCAGCTGCCCCTCCATAACTGTCAGCCTTCACTGCACGTGGGGAGCCTGAGACTGCCAAAGTGGAGCTGCTCCATTTGGGAAGCAGGATCTGAGCAAAAAATCCGGCACTTTAACTCACAGGACTGGGAAATCTGCCTTTTTTCCCATGCTGGTGGGTCATGCTGAAGAACAGGTTGGTCTCACCACAGGCAGGGATGTGTCCCACCATCCCAGGGTGCTCCAAACCCCATCCAACCTGAGCAGTTCCAGGCCTGGAACACCTCCAGGGATGGGGCATTCACAGCCTCTTTGGGCAACCTGTGCCAGTGGTGCACTTCTACGTTTGTTCTCTAAAATGCCCAAAGGAAAAGAAAACCGAGGGGCACAAGGTAGGAAAAAAGGAAGGACCAAAATGAAGCAAAGTTGTCTCAGCAACTCAAAGAGCTTCCAGAAGCTGCAGCACAGAGCTCACCCAGCCCTCTTGGTGACATTCTAGTGACAATCAACCAACCTCTGACTACTGAAACAAAGGGACAATCCAGCACCAGGAAGGATCTGCCACCCTTTGGAAGCACTGAAGCTCATTCCAAGATGGCAAATGCTGGGAGGAAAGCAGCACACTGGCTCTTGCCTCATGTAATCCAGGTGTTTTTGGGAGAAGGCTGGCAGGGAAAACTGCTCAGAAAATGGCCTCAGCTGCAAAGGCAGCACCAGCAAATGTCAGATTGGCTTTGGCTCTTTCCAGAGTCACCCAGGGGAGGAAATCCAGAGAAATGACTCCACTGCTTTGGAAAGGCTCTCAGAAACACCTCCCAGAGCAGTCCATTGGTTATTGGAGCTGGCACAGTCAGATTTGCCCTCTGCAGTGTACAGTAAATAAAAGGCATCTCAGGGGGAAATCCAAAGGGATCCAGTTGAGCCAGAACAATCCTCACCCTTCGGCCCTGGATTCTCCCAGCGACAGATGGACACACAACCCTGCTCAGGCTGGTCATCCGTAAATGTCTGGGAATGCATTTGCACCAGGGATGTCTTTAAAGCCTTTTGGTGGAAAAAGTGATGTCATTT